ATAACTACTATCTGTTTGAGGGTGAAATTACACCAATTATTTTATAGAAGTGGGTTGACCTCGTTGTCTCAACTTGGTCTTGTTGTCAGGGCGACTTAGTAGAATGCACATAGTCCGAAGTCGTCTGCCATAGTAGTTGTTATGATTCCCAGCATTAGACAGTAGACTTGGTACATTCTCAAATGTTTCGTCTGCATCGTAGTCGGCATCATCAGTGACTTTTGCCATTATCTGCACCAAGCTACAAACACGCCAAATAGACAAGTGAAGTCAATCCCTCGAGAAACGTTCCTCCAAAAACGGTTACACTATCACTCATCTCTCTGTCCTGGCCTATCTATCTACTCTTTACCCTCTTATCCCACGTTGGTTGGGGGATTGGCTTCACTTGTGTCTTTGACGAATTCGTAGCTTGGTGCGGAAAATGACAAAACTCACTGACGATGCCAGCGAAACGTTTGAGAATGTACAAAGTCCACTATTTGATGCTGGGACCGATGACAACTACTATGGCAGACGACTTCGGACTAGATTGGTTCTACATAGTCGCCCTGACAACAAGACCAAGTTGCGACAACGAGGTCAACCCACTTCTATAAATCGAAAGGAGACTGCGACCATGACAGAGGTCACAACATCTTGGTCTTCATATATTTAATTATTTTATCTTCACGTGAATTTCGCGGCCAGACAGTGCCCAAAGGAACCCAAATTGATTTGGCTCACTTAACTAGCGGAGGGGTGTAGTGAGTAGGAAGCGAGGTGAACTGAATGAAGTGTGCAGTTTGTATGGTTACCTTGAAGGGCTCACAGACGTAAGCAAATGCCTTGTAGACGATCCGATCCTGACCCATGGAATAGATGATTCTCGGGCCGGCAATCGTGTTGGACAACAGGCTGCCGGTGAGTCCGAGGAGGCAGCCGATGCCGACGAAGTAGTAAAAGCCCTCACGAAGCGAAAGACTGCCACCGCCGATCTGTTTTCCACCGATCAGAGCAAGCATGTAGGGCGCATTGATGTCGACGGTGTACCAGGGCACGTAGACCACCAGTGACAGGGCACAAAAGCTGATGGTGATGGCGACGAGGAGGACAGCAATCATGTTGGCGCGTGGAATGTCTCTGGCCGGATTGGCAGTCTCCTCGGCACACGTTGAAATCACATCAAACCCAATAAAACAGTAAAAGCAGGTGGAGGCACCGGCAATCAGACCCGAGATGCCGAAGGGCAGGAAAACACCGTCAGGAATGAGAGGATGCTGTACCAGACCATCCCCACCACTGCCGTGTATGAGCGAGTAGTTGGCGTACGGCACCGGCAGAAGCAAGTAGTTGAAGTCGGCAAATATGAACATGAAGACGGTTATCATCACTATCACAATCATATTGAGTCCTGTGAAGAAGTTGTTGACCCATGCGCTGCCCTGGATCCCGAATATCGTGATCCCGGCAACCAGGATCACGAGCCCGGCGCCAAGAAGGTCTGGATATTCACTGATTATAGACTTCTCGGGCGCCATCCTGCAAGGGTCGGTGGCAAGTGATGCAGAAGGTGATTAGAATGCTGGCGAAAACGAGCACACAAGATGCACAAACACGCTTATGGTGATTTCAAGGAGTGAAAATTTGGCACTGTACCCAGCCAGAGGTCCAATGCCGGAAATCACAAATACTCTGGCAGAGGATACGGGACTAGATCTCCCTGACACTCGGGCCAAGATTGGATCGCAAAAAGCATTGCCTTCTGTAGAGATCTTCTTATTCAGAACCTGGTAGGGAGTGTAAACTTGCTACATGTTTAACAAATTGTGACGTGGCTTTTCACTTTTAGGCAAAAGTTGGATAAAAATGCATGAGTTAGTCATGCCGAAAGACTGGCGAGGATTGACCGGTGTGGAGTAAAGACTATTGGACTGTTTTAAGAAGTCCACCAACTCCGACAAACCCATGCCGAGTTTTTGTCTCCCACGTAAAACGCACCAAATACGAATGCAATAAGCCCGTATGTTTGTAGAAGACAGTTAATTTGGTACGTCTTTTTTGTAAATGATGTTCTCCAGCTCAGACAATATCTGCTACTGTAGGATAGACGAATTCATCGGGGTCGTCAGGCCTTAAACCGAGGGCTTTTTTGTACTATCCAACAGTCCTCACTGCGTGTCAATCGTCATTCAGATTCTAGGCAGACAATCGAGACATGAATTTCCACTTCGAGGGAACAGTTGGTTGGAAGGGATTCGTGATGTGGTCTCAATGGAGACGAAAGTATTGTGCATAGAAGTCCTCGAAATGGGAATTCTTGTCATAATATAGTACTAATACACTCGTAGAAGCTCAATTTGTCTTCATGAAATCCTCCCAACTAATTTCTCCTTCAAAGGGAAAATTCGTGTTACAATAATCATCAAGAGGATCTTAAAAACCCAGCATTTTTCATATGTATATGTTCACACTAAGCCATATCCATGAGTACCAGTGGTTCAGAGGGCAGATGTGACCTTTAAGGCAAGCCAGGCCCTTTCCAAATCGTCCTTCTATAATGTGCATCTAAATGAAACAAATGATATTAATTATTTTCTATATGAGTAGGCCTCGTGATAGAGTGACAATGATAATTCAAGAATCTGTCCTACATCATCTTATGCAACCTGAGGTGACTAAGTTCATAGTGAAGGATTACTCTTCGTCTCTAATCATATCCACCCGAAATATGTGTATTCAATGCTTTTGATACATTTAAGGCTTTGTTTGCTAGTATTCTCGATCCCTTCCCTTCTCTTAAGTCTATCCAAAAGCAACAAGGGATTCTTCTAACTCAAGCCTTTCTTCATACACATAGTGATTACATTATAGTATATTGCATATTATATGACTACATCTTGACAATATGAGATGTATTCACCCAATTTCGTTTAAGGCGATGAAGGACTGGTAGAGGAAGAATTTTCCCACAATGATATGAGTTGACCTGACGTTCCCATTTAATTTCACATAGCCTTGCTTTGACCAAAGTTGATCTCATTCCGGCTGGGGTGGACTGCAGTTTCGACCTCGCATCGGTCTTATCAACAGTGCAGGATGGGAACTTGACACACTAACCACTCAGCTACACTGCCACGAGCACCTTTTGGGTCACAGAGTAAGTGTGAATTTTCAAGGAAGGCCAGGCCTTTTTTGCCATATCATATTCTTTTGGTGGAATTGTCGATGAAGCATATTACTGATTTACTGGTAGTCACGAAAACAATACTTAAATCGAGAAATACATCTCGACAGTCCCTCCACAAAATGTGATTTCTGATATGCCTGGCTCGGCTGAGGTCGCATACGTTCTATGACCAAATGGTACCCGCGGTTGTTTGACTGCGTGTGCAAGGCAAAGTGATTGTGAGGTCGTATGATGCGGGCAACTCGGTTTTGTACCTGGTTGGGGATTTTGATGAGACTCTGATGAAGTCTAAATTGCCCTCCAACTGGGATGGGAAAACTTTTCGGGTGGCAAAACTATGCAAGCTTCCATGACAACGGAAGGAATGCTCACTTCATCGTGAGAATTGCAATCACCCCAAACTGGCTAACGCTAGTCATTTTCGTATGGGAGTAGGGTTTCGAGACTACCAGTAAATCAGTGTAATGAGATGTATTCACCCTATTTCGTGTAAGGTGA